AAAAAGGAAAGGATGACTTGGGTTAATAGAAAAGGACAAGGAGGTAGAAGAGGATTGACAGATGAAGCTACAGCACAGAATTACGAGGGAGCTTGGGCAGGGAGGAGTATGACTGCCCAGCAGAAAACGGAGAAGCTCTAGATTGAGGGTCAGTAGATAGATGGAGGGCAAACTTGAGAAGAGGTATAAAACAGAGCAATTGAAGGTATTTTAAAAACAATCCACTATCCCCATATAATCTCTTCTTCTCCAACTTGTTCTATAAAATGCCTAATATTTATCTTCAAGGCAAAAAAAAAAAAAATCAGATGAAGAGAATGGAACATGACCTAGTATTTTAATGACCTATTAGGACAAAATCAAACTATTTTGAAGAAAATAAAAAATTCCAACATTTCTTAATGTGTCATCTACAATGTTCAATACCCAATTTTAAAAATTACTACTCATGGGCCCTGGCCAGTGTGTCATCCTGTACACCAAAAGGTGGGGGGTTTGATCCCTAGGCAGGGTGCACGCGGAAGCTACCAATTGATTTTCCTCTCACATCAATGTTTCTCTCCCTTTCTCTTGCTCAAAATCAATACTTTCTTTTAAAAAATTACTGTACATGGGAAGAATCAAGAAAATGTGACCTATAATGAAGAGAAAAAATTAATCATAAAAGCAGACCCATAGATAACCCAGGTATTTTAGTCAGCAGACAAGTTTTATAAATATGCTAAAAATATATATATACAGGGGGGGAAAAGAGATGTATATAAACGGTGAAGAGAAGGAGACTTTCAGAAAGAAATATAGAAATGGGAATTCTAGAACTAAAAACTACAATATTGGGCTCTAGCTGGTTTGGCTCAGTGAATAGAGTGTCAGCCTGCGGATTGAAGGGTCCTGGGTTTGATTCTGGTCAAGGGCACATACCCAGGTTGTGGGTTCGATCCCCAGTAGGGGGGGAGGGAGGCATGCAGGAGGTACCCAATCAATGATTCTCTCTTATCATTGATGTTTCTATCTCTTCCTCTCCCTTCTGCTCTGAAATCAATAATGATATATTTTTTTAAAAGTACAGTATCTGAAAAAAATATTTTTTAAGTCATCAGATGTACTTGACAACAATTTAGTCAATGAAGAAGAAAGGATCAGTGAACTTTAGGACAGATCAAAAGAAATTATCCAAACTGAAGAACAGAGAGAAAAGATTTTTAAAAGAGAGGCTCGGGAAGAATGGAACACTTCTCAACTCATTTAATGAGGCCAACATAACCTTATCAAAATCTGACAAAGTCATCACAAGAAAAATTTATAGAATGATATTGGTCATGAATAAAGAAGCAAAATTCTCAACAAAATATTAGCAAATTGAAGTATGATTTTGCATTTATATTTATAATATTTATATTTATAGTCCATCATGACCAAGTGTGCTTTTTCTCAAGGATGTAACATTGGCTTAACATTTTAAAATGAGTCAATGTGTCTTACTATATTAACAAAATAAAGGAGAACAACAAAAGGATTATCTCAAAGTGAAACAAAATAAAATCACTTGACAAAATAAAAACTCCCGGCAAATTAGACATGTAAGGGAACTTCCTGATAAACATGAAAAATCTATAGCTAATATCATACTTAATAATAAAATATTGAAAGCAATTTCCCTAAGATCAAAATCAATGCGAGGATAGTGATTTTACATTGTACTAGCATTTTTAACCAGTCCAATAGGGCAAGATTGGGAAGAAAGAAGTCACACTTCATTTTCAGATGTCATTATTGCCTATCTAGAAAATTGTTAAGACAAATATATAAAATAGAAATACTAGTAGCTACACTTAAAAAATAAAAAGAAACAGGTAAATTAAATTGGATAATATATTTTGTCAACCTTAATATACCCAGGATGTTATTTTGACGTGTGATCAATTTTTTTTCAAATTATCAAAGATATTTTTCTGTAATGAGTCCTCAAGTTTTAGTGCACATTTTATACTTAATAAGTACATCTCAGTTCAGACCAGCCACATTTTATGTGTCCAACCTGTGCTGGTGGCTACCTTATTAGACACTGTTATGAATCAGCTCTGAATCAGCTACAGTCTATTGAAGTTTGCACGTAGATTCCAGAAAGTCAGAGAATTGAATTGGTGCTACTTCTGGCCTGTAATGTTAGAGGAGAACTCCCATTTATCTTAATCGTTAGAAATACCAGAACTTGCGGTCAAGATGAACCCAATTCTGTAATAGCTGAATAAGTCTCTACCAGTTTTCATCTGAAAGAACTTCGCTACTACATTTGGAGACAGATCTGTATAGCCAATGAGCAAACAGTGCAAAATGATTTTTTCCCCCATATGAAATCATTTAATTCAGTCACAATTTTACAGATAGCTATTGAGCCAGACACAAGCACCAGTACTGGGGCTTCAAAAACGTGTCGTATTTTAATATTTGCCCTCGAGGAAGTCACAGTCTCTTCAAAGCAAAGGCAAGGGGTAGTTCCTGAGAACTTCAGATCATCCCAGTGTTCAATGATCCCACCAAAACTGAGACAATTTCCCAGGACCTTCTAAAAAATAATAATAATAACAAAATACTGCTACTCAAATTTCTCAATGTTTGTTGGGTGAATGGTGAAATGAGCCATTGTCCACTTACCAGTTCTCTGATACACAAACATAATATTTTCAGCTCTAGGTTAATGAGCCTGTGCTCATTTGCAAGCTCGTCTTCAGCTTAAAATCGTTTGCATTCAACAGAATAATTTTTCCCCTCCGGTCATTATTTCCATCAAGGTATCCTATAGACCCCCTTATTTTTAAGAATAAGACTAGTTTACTACACTATCCAAACATGGATATATATTAGGTCCTCAACTTATAATATTTCATCGAGGCTGAATCTTCACTATGATTTAAGAGAGGGAGGGAGTTGGAACCAGCCTGTACTTAATCACTGTGTTAACGAAACAGTTACAGGCTCATCAAAAAATTAGCTTTTTTAAAAAAAAAAAATTAGTTTTTCATCTCTCAGAGCAGATTTCCTCCAGGTGGGCGGTGCCACCCATCCTCACTCCAAAGGAATCACCTGCCGGTAGAATCCCGGGCCCCCGCTGAATCGGAACCTCAGGGGTTCCCATGAACACGCAAGTTTGACAACCACTGCCCACAGTGAGCTTCCCCTTTGATGCAACTGAAGCCCCCTAAGAGCCCTTCCGGGTGAGCAAACTCTGGCGGGTGACAGGCTGAGATTCAGTGTCTCGCCCAGGGTCGCCCTGAAAGTGATTCCCAGAGCAAAACACCCACCCAGGTCCTTCTGAGTACGAGCTTCTTTCCGTTCCTAGTCCATCCTGATCTTCTGGGGGTGCTCGGAGATGTTTCTGTTCCTGGAGGAAATGCTATTTTCGGAACTTAGTTACTTTGTTTACTCGCTTTGTGCACGTTTCCTTGTGAACTGTAGTTTCCCTTTAGGTAACTGTTAACGAGGACTCGCTATTCCACCCGTCAGGCATACGCTGTGCTTTCTCGCTATGTAGGTTATGAATGATGGATTCAGATTCACACATCTCACAGATGGGCTGACGTCTAAGGCCAAGCCGACTAGGACTGAGACCATATTCTTTGGCGCTTTCCAGTGCTGTCTCTATCATGTGTGTGATGGTGTCAGGAAACTTGGTTTTGTTTTTTGGTGTGTGTGTGTGTGTGTGTGTGTGTGTGTGTGCTTTGTTTGTTTCATTGTTTGTGTGATTTTTTTTTTCCCCCCTAGGAAATCATTTAATTCAGTCACAATTTTATAGATAGCTATTGAGCCAGACACAAGTATTGGGGCTTCCAAAATGTGTCATATTTTAATATTTGCCTTCAAGGAAGTCATAGCCTCTTCAAGGCCAAGGCAAGGGGCAGACACGTAAACATTGTGCTCAAATCTCGCACACTACGTTTCAATGAGGCCCTGTGGGCGTGGAGAAGGGAGGCGGGTGGCTGTCTGAAAGGGGGCTGGGATTCATCGAGATGCTGCTGTTCTCTGTGTGAGTGTGAATCCAGTCGGCCGGAAAAGTGAGGTCCTTCCTATAGCGTCGTCGGGCCCCAGGGAAGATCAGAACACGGGTCTCGGGGACCCAAGCCTGCACCCTCCCCAAGACACCCAGCTCTCCCCAGGAACCTGACCTTCTAAAGCACACCGGCTCCCCCTCTTCTCACCCCCGGAGCGCTCTCTGGTTGTGAGATGTTAAGGGTGATCCATTTCCTTCCCAGGCCACGGAGGTGCCGTTTCATTCACTCCGGCAATAACTAAATGGGAGCCTACCTTTAAAACACGCCGAAAGCAACGTGCTGCTAATTTATGACAGCAGCTACCGGAGCTCCAGAGAGCCTCTGACGGCCTGGCTTATAAATTTGGTTGAGATATTATGATGATGCTCCCTGATTTAATCCCCCCATACATTAGAGGAGATGATTGTAATACCTGTTGTCACTTCATTCTTGCCCTCCCTCCAATCACTCTCCCGCCTTCATGAATTCAGAACAAAATGCCACGCGACATTGATGTAGCTCTTAGAGACAGGAGGGCTGCATTTTATAGCCTGGATACGAAATCATGCTCAGAGACCTCTCAGCCTTTACTGAATGAGAAAAACACACACACAGCCCACCCTAACCTTCCCGTGTCGCCCATGGGAGCCTCCTCATGGCTTTCCAGCGTGAGGAAACTGAGGCTCCGAGATGGTCAGTGGCCGCCCAGGGTCACCCTGCGAGGGATTGCCAGAGCCAAACACCCCCCAGGTCTCCTGACTCCCAGTACAACGTTCTTCCTGTTTCTCCTTTATTCTCTAATCTTCTGGGGACTCTGCTAAAACAGTTTCTCGACTGTTTGCAATGAAAGGCATTATTGTCCATGCGGAAACAAAAAAACAAACAACAACAAAAAAGTGGCATCCCCCCTCACCTTATCACCCATGTTTCTCGCTGATCCCGTCACCGTCATTATTTGGTGTTTTCTTACAGAAGGCAACAGACCACTGCACCAGAAACTGTCCTTAGATGGGAACCCCAAACCTATACACGGACCACCCGAGAGGTCAGAGGGCCTGCAGTGGTCGGCTGAGCAGCCTTGTAACCCAAGCAAGCCTCATGCAAAAACTTCTCCTGTTAATTCCAATGCCCCCGCAGCTCATCCCGAAATAAAGCCAGATGAGCTGGCAAAGAAAAGAGGTAAAGTGGTTTCTTTTGCACAAATGATTCAACGTCTCGGTCACACCCAGGAAAGGGCCAGGATGACAGGGCGCGCCCAGAGACGCCGCTTCGGGGAAGGGAGACGCACAGGAGATGGCGTTTCGTTCTGTGACCCACACACGCCGATAGGCAGATGTGGTTCCGCCCGTGTCAGTCCAAGGGTGTAAATGGAATTACCTCCCTTTCCTCTGCCTCCCCGGGACCATTCTTCTCTTGGTGGTTAGGGATACATTTGCAGGTACTTTCTAGCCTCCCGTCTCAGGAAGCGAATGTTAGTGCCAGATCCTTTACCCAGAGCTGGTCCTCCACGTGAAAGGGCCTCAGTCACTTCCTTTCCGATCCCCAGAAGATTAAATAACATTCTTCTCATCCAGCCTCGGTTCTATTTGATTTCCTTGGCTATGGTTTGATACGCTTTGTCGCTTTTCTGGAGGGAGATTGCTTCCTTCCAAGACGCATGCCCTCGTTGGGAGACGCACAATTTGCCGATTTGCTTTGCACTATCTGTCAGCCCCGGGGACAGTTTCAGGAAATCGGGCAAGATTGGCACCCACAGAGCCGCCTAAGTGCTGCTGTAATTACAGGCCCTGCCCAGCCCGATGGGCCCCTGGCCAGTGTCCCTGGCCCTGCCGCTCCGGCCTCGGTCACTGTTTGTACCTCTCCTCACCTCTAAGGCCTTTCCTCCTGCGAAAGCCCGCAGGCATAGGCACGCAGAGCGGTATTCAGACACAGGCAATCTTTAGACACATCCTGTTCCAAGAAACTGCCCCGTGTGGTGGAACATACATGATCAGGACCTTTTCCCAAAAGCAGAGGAGACACGAGTGCCCAGAATGGCCCAGCCGGAGGCCCCACTAGCAAGCCTCATGCAAAACCTCTCCTGTTAATTCCAATGAAATCCCAGCAGTCTCCCTACCAACCACCCGCTCTGCATGTTAAAAATCCCTGGGTTACAAGCAACCTCTATACCGAACTTTTCTATTTTTTTTTTATTTTTTTCATTGGGAAAAAAAAAATCTGTTTGGTGGGGGAGGATGGAGGAGGGGTGTTGGTGGTGAGTTAGTTGGATTTTGTTGGTATTGTTCAGCTCACAAAGATCAAGTGCTCAAATCAAAAAACAAAAAACAAACTTTTTTTTTTTTCCTTGACATTCACGTTAGGCCCGAATATCGAGAAGTCGGTGAAGGACCTGCAGCGCTGCACCGTGTCCCTGACCAGGTACCGCGTCATGATCAAGGAGGAGGTGGACAGCTCGGTGAAGAAGATCAAGGCCGCCTTCGCCGAGCTGCACAACTGGTGAGTGGGCGGCCGGGACAGGTGCGCGGGGCGCTCCGTCGTCTCTTAGGGAAAAGCCGAGGCGGGAGAACAATCTTTATTTCGTATATAAACCGTGCGGGGCAATTCTCCCACAGATTTTTTTTTTTTTTTTTTTTTTGGAAGCCCTGCAGACAGGGGCCTGTATCTTGGGAATGAAAAAGGAGAGAACGTGCGTGGATGAGGCGGAGCGCGGCAAAGAGCAAAACCTCAGCCAGCGGCGCTTCTGTAAAATCTCTGGGAAGCTGGTAGCACACATGCCGCTAAGAGAAGAATCTTCCAGCTTCATCCTTATAAAAGGACAGCTCCCTTAACAAAACTCAGAAGCATCCCGTGCAGACGTAGTGAGGTCTCAAGATGGGAATTGAATGGGGCGCCGTGCGGTGCTGGCCCCGCCGTGCTCGGCAGCTGGCTCGACGGGCGGCACTCCTGTGAGTCCTGCTCCGTGGCTCCTGTCCACGGCTGGGAGGAAGGACCTGTTAGGAAAGGTGGGGATTTTTATCAGGAAGAAAATGTTCTCAGGGGATCAGCCGGAACCCTTTTAGTTTTGGGTGAGAGAAACCCAAGTCACACTGGTTCAAGACAAATAGAGCTCACTGGCCGATGTGCATGAAAACACCAGGAGACTCCTTCAGACAAATTTGGTCCTAAGCCCAGATCATGTTGTTTCTCTCTGCGCTGTTCCCTCCCTTTTCTCCTCGCTCTGTCTCCCCTTTCCTCTCCCGCTGTCTCCCACAGGCTCCTGGTTCTGCTTATTCTTGGCTTCTTTCTCTGGCGTGACCTCTCCGAGGAGCAGCCAAGCAGACCCCCTGGCAGCTCCGGCTCACGGACCCCACAAGGGCTGGTCCCCAGGAGTTCTAACCAAAGTCCAGGGGCTCGTTCCCATTGGCGGGGTTGGTTGGGTCATGTACCTGTCCCTGAACCAGCCGCTGTGGCTAGAGCGACCGTCTCCCCACCAGCCAGGCGGAGACCGGGTCTGCCACAGTGAGTGGGGGACCGAGCTTCCCCAGAATCCCATGACCTGAGAGGTGAGGAGCTGTGGTCCCCAGAGGAAAAGCAGGGTCCTGAACACAAATACACAGGCCAAAGAGAACATACCCTCAGCTCCCCGATTTGCATAACATGTTCCCCATATCTCCTCAGCCTCCCACGGTCCTAGAATTTGGTCAGGTCTTCTGAATATTTTTTCTATTCCAAGTCCTTTTTTTGGCCTCCGATGTGCTTCTTAGCTAATGGTTGAGTTGTGTGAAACTAAGGGTTACACTTAACACTTAACCTAATCAATTCTTGAATTGTAAACCATCGGCTACATATAATGTAAGAACCCTTCAAGGACATCCACATCCTTGGGTCGGTCGCCCTTTCCCCTCCCCCAGTCTCGGCACCTGGCCCCTCATGGATCACTCCTCTGTTTGATCAGATCACAACCTACTTGTTCAAGGCAAACTCCAAGGATATGCCGAAACCATTAGAGAAGATAGGTGCTTGCAGGTGAAAGATGTTACACTTATTCTTGTTGGTTTTCACATTTTCCAGCCTATCCTTGTTACCCCGATATTTGTTTTTTAAATATATTTTATTGATTTTTTTTTTTACAGAGAGGAAGAGAGAGGGATAGAGAGCTAGAAACATCAATGAGAGAGAATCATCGATCAGCTGCCTCCTGCACACCCCCCCAATGGGGATGTGCCGCAACCAAGGTATATGCCCCCGACTGGAATCGAACCTGGGACCTTTCAGTCCGCAGGCCGACGCTCTATCCACTGAGCCAAACCGGTTTCTGCATTACCCTGATATTTAAAGTGCACTCAACCTCCAGTCCTGTTCTCTCAAGCCCAAGTCGGCAGACTCTATCTGTGAAGGGCCAGCGAGTCAGCGTTGTAAGCTTTATGGGCCATAAGGTCTCCGTGTTGTGGCACGAAGCAGCCGGAGGGGATGCAGAAAGGCTGTGGGCCGGGTGGGCGGGGAGGGGGGCTCGGAGCTGGCCCCCCCCGCTGTCTGGGGGCATTGGCCGGCTGCTCTGAGAAGCCCTCTGTCTTATCCTTCTGTGTGGCATTCTAGAGTAAACCCTTCCTTCGAGGCCCCTGTTCTACCTTCCGTCGGAGTGACTCACACACTAATTGACAAAGTGTAGCCATGACCTCGGATTACCTCTCCCCTCCAGCTGCCCGGCGGACTTGTATTTTTTATTGTTTTACTTTATTTCCTTAGTAAAATGAACATCACATGGGTCACGGGACATCTTGAGATTTATAACAGATTCTCGGAGTGTTTCACTCCTGACGAGCTAAAAGCTTGGGGCCAGGAAGTCAGCGCCAGCGCCAGGGGGGGGGGAAGTTGTATATCTTTTCTCTGCTTGTAAGTCACGTTGTGTTTTAAACTCGGGGGGGCAGGGTGGGGGGAGAGGGAGCTCCCTTCTGAGTGAGCTCTGCCAGGCAGCGCTGCCCTTTCTCAGTGACCTTAGGGACAAAGCAGCCCTTTTCCTCCGAGCCGGAGAGGGAAAATGTACACCAACCATGTTCTGCATGCTGTCGCTACCCAGTGAGTAAACGCTCACTTGCTTTCTGATCTAACCCTTAAAAAAAAGCGACTCCAAAACATAACGTAAATGTTAATTAAACATAAAACCAAAGTGGTTTTTAATCAGCCACTTCCATGCATTTCTGCCAAGCGGAAAGGTGTTGGCTCCAGTCCAGGCCAGAACAGGGCCTCCCCCTCGTTGTCTGAGAGAAGGGTGTTAGGGGCGGCGGTGCTTAGGGGAAACAGCAGACCACAGAACTGAAGAAGGCAGTATACATGTGTGTGTGTTTTTTAATTAAGCTTTGCTGTTGGTGATGAAATCGTGAACAATAGGCACGAGCAAGAACTTTGGAGGCAGCACCATTCGTGTAACACGGTCGGAGCCTCAGGGTTGCTGTGGGGCAGGTCCTCTGGAGGGTTTCTGGAAAGTGCTGTTTCTGAGACAGAGGGCAGCTCACCTGGTGCCTGGGCGACGTGGACCCAGCCCCTGTGCTCGCTGGGTCTAGTGTAGAAACAAACTCTAGACATTTTCTTTGTTACCCACGTGCCAGCCTCAGGGGGTGCATTCTGCCTGCCTGAATCCCGCGCCCCCCCCCCCAATTCTGCGGGAAGCCACGGGAACGGCGATGCTGTGCGGCTGGGAGAAGCCACCTATTGGCACCTGCTCAGGACCAAGGGGCCCACAGTATGAGTGTGAGGAACCACACGCTTGTCTTTCCCAGCCTGTTTGTGAGCAGTCTTCCTTCGATGCCGTCGGGGGGCGAGGAATCCATTGCGTTGCTGAATTCTGATGGCAGAGTTGGCCTTGGACCCGGACACAGTTTTCCAGGCTCAGGGACCTTGCAGGGATCACTGCTACTCCCCCAGGAGGAACTGGGGACCGGAGAGGGGAACAGGGATGGCTAGAGCTCTCACCACGCGTCGTGACAGGAAGTGAATGTTGCAGCAAGAGCATCTGTGTGAGAAGTCCCATCGGGAACTAACATGAAGCAGCTGGCTTCTTGTCTGCACGCTCAGCCCCCTACCACAACTGGAAAATATTCATTTCTTGGGATTATAGCTGCCAGATTTAATCGCTCTGTGTGCGAACGAGTCCAGCTTCCCGTCGCAAATCTGTGTGTGTGTGTGTGTGTGTGTGTGTGTGTCCATGTGGATGGTGAAGGCTTAAAATGAGCAGTAAAGAGCTGAGGAAGGAGAGTGATGCTAATTGTCGGCCATGTGCTGGGGGAGGCAGCATTCCACGGCAGAGCTGTAGGGACTCTGATTAACAGCAAGCGGGGGAGTGTGTGCTGGGATGGGGAAGGTGGAGAGTGGGAGCTGGGGGGACTGCAGCGGAGGCTGCTCGGGCCCCGATAGTAAGGGGGTCCCTCGCAGCAGGACAGAGCACAGGGGCCAGGACCCCCTCTGCACTTACATTGAGTTTTTCCTGAAGCAGCGCCAGGTCTGCTCAAGGAGAAGGGGAAGTGGATCCGGAGTCCCCACTCTCCTGGCCCCGGGCCCTGCCCACTCCCCCTTTTCTCCACCTTGGAGCTTCCTACCTCAGAAAGGTGCAGGAGGGGAAGGGGGAGTGCTCCTGCAGGCCAGAGCTCCTGGCCCCACACCAACTCCAGGGTGGAACTTCCATTGGGCCCATCCCCCTTCCCTTCTCTTTTTCACCCTGAACTCTCTCTTTTCTGTGTCCCTGGTAACGTCATCCTTCCGATGCCCAGGTGTCATCCCTCCAAAGTGACTTATTTGCATGTTAACAAATGTTATCCAAACCTGCGAAGACTCGCCCAGCAGACGGATAGCTCTGAGCGTGAAAACTCCGGGTGCAGGAAAGGCCATTTTCCGCTCCGTCCATCTTCTTGGGCCTCCCCACATCCCACTGCACAGGTCCTCTCGTCTGCCGGCAGCTCTGGCCGGAGCCCAGCACACGCACACAGCCCGCCCTGGTGGTCCGCTGACCGGTGTCTCCACGGTGACACCTGTGTCCTCTTCCTGGGCTGGGAGCTTGGGGATCCCCCACCTCCACCCCCACCCCAAGGGAACAGCTCTGCAGCCCCCTGACCTGCATTCCCGGGGCCCTACTCCTGATCCCCAAATACTGTCAGACCCTTGGCGGACACAGCCTTGGAACGACTTCCATCTGAGTCCAGATAACACCCTTTTTCTCTGCCGGTTTAGCACATCCCAGACTCCTTCCTCGTTAGTTGCTTTCTCCCCAGGTTCCCCAAACTTCTAGCTGCTCCTTGGAGAACACCTGGCTTCCCACTCAGTGCTGGGAGCCCAGCCAGGGCTTTCCTGTGCCCCAGGGGATTTTCTTTTCTCTCTTTGTGACTAAACAGTGCCAGGGAGACGGTGCCTATAAATTATCAGGGACTTCTCTCCACCCCGAAATCTGTTTGCGCACTGTGATTAAAACTCCCGGAGCTCCGGCCGTCCTGGGCTCCGAGACACTGACGTCGCTGGTCTGAAGTCCA